GAGAATCACACAGACTTGCACGTAGGCATATTTTTCATGAAGCGCGCTATTCACACACCAATAACTCACACAAAACTTAAAAACATTCCTTAAAATGAATTCCTCTTATACATAGCTTCGCAAAGAAGTTGAAACTGGTAACATTACATATTGAATCAATATTACTTAATTTGTGGAGTAAGCAGTTGATCCTTGTTTCGAAGGACCGAATTCAATGCAGAACGTGGAGACTGGTCCTTCGGATGAGACAGTGTAAACAGAGATCCAGTGTTTATAATTAGTAGGTGCTGGTAAGAAAAAAAATCCCACATTGCTAAATGACCCCGAGTGCAGCGTATAGGTAAATAATTGTAGCTCACCATTGGCAAGTGGCGGCGTTTCCATATATATGAAAAATTCTCGAGAGGGACGTTCAACAAATAAGCATACAAACATGACTTCCGTATTCTTTTCGGAAGTTTAAAAAAAAAATGATGAAATATAAAAGTCTACTTCGGATGAGAATATTGTATTATCAGGATATCTTGCAATTAGCTATCAGATGAAGAGATTTCACTGAAAACTGAGCCGTGTCCCTAATTATATCAATTTTCATCTAATTTTTCATGTTTTCTGTTTTGTTTTCTCTGAATTTTATCTAATTTTATATAATGTTTTTAAATGAGAGATTTAAGACAAATCTTTAGATATGTATTGTTTGAAAATATATTTAAACAAGTCAATTTCAGGAAAATAAGGGAAACATTTATCACGTCAAAAATCATTTCAACTGTAATTCCTGTTATGTTGTATTTTTTTTAATATAATAAAATTGTGTATCTGGGAGAACTGGTGGGACTTTATACCAAAATCTCACACTCATTAGAAGAGAAACCAATGACCCTGTGGCCGCCCATTTTTACTCGGAATTTCACACATCAAGAGATTACAGCATTATAGACATTGCACAATTGTACAATAATGACATCGGAATTATAGAAAGAATTTATGGAAGAAAAAGTAAAATCCTTATATACCATTTGGTATTAACAAAAGAGAACACTTTTTTCCTTAAACATATTAATGAACAGTTTTGTGTGTGTCTACATTTTTTTTTACTGTTGATATATATGTTTATTTATATGTAATAATTATTTTACACAATCTACAGTCCACTTAATACATGTACTTGTTTAGTTGACGAACGGTTGAGGTTATATTCTTGTTTCTCGGATTGTGAGTAGTAACCAAAATAATATCTTTTGGAGCATTCCTTAATTCAATATCATATAAAAGACATTTATGTCTTCTAATGCTTTTATGTCTTCTAATGCATATAGGCAAGATCACCGTTGCTTGTTTTAGCTAATTTTGTAAAAATCAAATAAAACACTTTCATGTAGATTGTAGATGAATAATGTCATTTATTAAAAAATGACGGTATAAATGTGAACAATTTAACAAACTTGAAAAAAAACTAAAGAGCACAACATTAAGAGATTAACAAAAAAAGTATCATGCAAATAAACATAGCGATGAAACGAATGCATTTTGTAAGTATGTATTCTTTGATAAGTAAAGTCTGATATAAAAAAAAAATTGGTAGATGAGTATGACCATAAAACACAATTTATTATTTATCTTCTTATTTTATAAAAATAACTGATTGTCTCCGCATGAATGAAATATACAAATACTTTGCAACCTGTCGAGAATAAGTAGAGATAAGTTTACGTAGTAAATCCATTGCTATTCCAGTTGATTAAAACCAGTGTCTTTAAAAGGTTTAGATCGATATTCAGATTATAAGGGACAAGGCAATGAAATACGAATTTCATCTTCAACATTATTTCTAGAACAAACCGTGCAAACTCTATCCTCAACAGGTTCTCAATGATATCTACCGGTCTCTATTCGTATCGGTAAAAATCCACTTCTAAATTGCGCTAAATTTAAACGTAAATATTTAGGCATATCAAGTACTACATATTTTTCCCTGCAAAAAAGTATTTTAAAATAAACATAATGTATGAATATATAAACTAAATGATGAGACAAAATATTTACAGATTCTCGCCATAATTTTCCAACATTGTTTACATTTTGTACACACAAACATTATTTATGAAATTAAATACTTTTTTTATTGGAGGAAAAAAACATACAAACTATTCGTTTATGTACACAAATATGTAATTGTTTACACAAATTGACATTAAATACTACACTTCTAAGTAATTTCAGTTTTACAATTTTACTTTAAAAAGGTTTTGATGTTTTAGTCGTCTCAAAAAATTCAACAATTATGCATACGGTAATACAAAAAAAATAGTACCTTAATATACCGGGAAGACTTTAAAAACTAAATTATATACAACATCCTGAAGTTAAATAAATGTTTAATAAAAACACAAGGTTATTTTCGGGTATGATAAAAGTTGTAAAAAGAACCTCATAACAATAAACTGTAAAAGTGGTTATTTACGCTGGTTGTTAAGTACGTGTTTGTGAACATCAGACATTACGCGTGGGTGTAATATACTAGGTCGCACGAGTTACTGAGAGAGAAAAAATATGCGGCCATCGTTTCTAACATCGAGTTGTTCCCCTTTGAAATTGATAAAAAAGAAAAAAAATAAAAATAATTACAAACAAACTAAACCAATAAATAAGAATTTACACTGTTGGATTGGTAAATATAACGTCGATGTGAACAGTCAACAGCGGTGAAGTGTGAACACTTGGTGTTTTTTCAAGCGAGCTCAAACTTCAAAGGGTGATCTACTTACCTGTATCTGCCTGTCGAGTCTTGACAATAAAAAATAGGTATGATTGTAATGACTGTGAGTTTATGTAGCATTCTGGACTTATTATTATTTGAAATTAAGGGAGACATACACGAATATACAAAGGGAACAAAAATGAGTATCGATTTTTGAAGCTTTAATTACGTGACGTTGCTTTAAAATATTCAATATGAAGATGCATTTTTCATCGAACAATTTAAACAAGAGGCCCATGGGCCACATTGCTCACCTGAACGCTGTGGCTAGAAAATTAAGAAATTGGTTTATTATTTAAAAGTTTAAATCCAAAAGTAGTCCCATGACCAATCATTGCGTTGCTATTCTTAAGAAGAAGATTTTAAAAAAGAATTTTCCTAAATATTACTTATTATAAACTTTGGTAGGCCATTTTGGCACCGCCCTACCCTGGGGGTCAAGATTTGAAAAAATTTAATCTACACTACCTGAGGATGCTTCCATATAAATATAATCAATCATGGCTTTGTTATTCTTGAGAGGAAGATTTTTAAAAGAATTTTCCTATATATTTCTATGTAAAACTTTGGTTCGCCATTGTAGCCCCGCCTTACCCCCGGGGTTCATGATTTGAACAAACTGGAATCTACACTACCTGGGGATGCTTCCATATAAATATGATCAATTATGGCATACCTATTCTTGATAAGAAGAATTTAAAGAATTTTTCTTTATATTTCTTTGTAAAAATTTGGTTGGCCATTGTAGCCCCGTCCTATTGCCGGGGTTCATAATTTGAACAAACTTGAATCTACACTACCTGAGGATGCTGTCATATAAATATGATCAGTTATGGCTTTGCTATTCTTGAGAAAATCTTTAAAGAATTTTCCTTTATATTTTTATGTATAACTTTTGTCGGCCATTGTGGCCGTGCGCTATCCCCGGGGGTCATGATTTGAACAAACTTAAATCTTCACTACCTGAGGATGTTTCCCAATAAGTTTCATCTTTTCTGTCACAGTGGTTCTTGAGAAGAAGATTTTTAAAACATACCACCAAATTTTCATTAATACACAATTATCTCCCCTTGAATGAGGGAGTGGTCCCTCATTTGAACAAATGTTGATTCCCTTCACCTAAGGATGCTTTTGGCAAATTTGGTTAAAATTGGCCCAGCAATTCTTGAGAAAAAGTCGAAAATATGAAAAGTTTACAACAACGACGACACCGACACACAAATGACAGATTTTGATCAGAAAAGTTCACTTGAGCCTTCAGCTCAGGTGAGCTAAAAATGCATAGTTATATTTTTATCAATGTATGTGATATATTTATCTACTCACGTGCGTTCAATAGCACGATTTGTATATTAATGGTTCGACCGGTTTAACAGTAGAAGTAATAATCTAGAATTATTCCAGAAGTTTGAAATTTTGTGACCATATGCGCGGAGGTATTTTAAACGGTTCTTAGCTTACCGCGTAAGTAGTGTAAATTTCCTCAGACGCGTAAATATCCACTTTTACTGTATAACAGCTGAGAATTTTTTTAACTGCTAAGCATAGTGCACGTATGGATACGAAGGATAATATCTGAGTCTTATCAAGAGGCATTAAGATGTTATCACCCCAATGTTATCGATGTTGCATAGACGAATATGGAATTGTTCACTCGGTTGATTTTCGCAATGTTCACCCTTGAAAAGTTAAATTTTAATGTTCCTGATTTTCCTGATAAATCTTCCTATATAGTATTGTACAAATTATTTTCCATATCTTGCCATACAGAGGTCAGGTGGCAGAGGATACTTTTTTGGCAATCAAAACGTGTTTGACTGATGGTTTACTTAATATTGGGCTTAAAAACTGTAAATTGGAAAATTTTAAATACTCTTTACTTGTAATAACGGCATGTTTTATTATACTTCTGTTAAGGTCAGACGAGACGTTACTCAAAATCTGTTTTGTATATCTTTGTAATGTATGAAAAATATTCAAAATTTTCATAACATTCTGACTTCTAAACCAGTTTCTAGACGTTTTTAAAAAATACAAACACTTAAACATTTGAAATTGGAAAATTATTTTTCTTCCCCAAGGATTATATAAGAAAAACTACCCCTGGTATCTTGCAGAAATGCCTGGTAAGGTACCTCAATTTTTTTATGAGTAAACATGTTTAAGTAGCAACACTTCAATGACAAACTCTTAGAAAAATTTATCTATTATTAAGGAACATCTCGTCTCTCCTTAAAATGTTTCCTATACAAACATCAGAAGGCAAAATAACTATCTTTTATAGTCCACACATAGCAAAGCTATACCCTGGAGTATAGCTTTTACTATCCACCCTCGTAAAATTTTCATACAATTTTTGCCGCTAATTTTGATTTCCAGCGATAATTCTATTGAGGATGATGTTATAATGACTTAGTAGCATTGTGACGTCATCAGGATTTAAGATTCTTCTTGCAGTATTATCTTACTCAAAAAAATTCAAAGCTCAGAAATTATATTATACCACAGTATAATAAAACACTTATTCACTGTTTGTGAGTGGGATAGCTCTTTCATCCAACCCTTGACAGGGACTATTCCCTGTCGCGGGTTTGATAAAAGAGCTATCCCACTCACAACCAATGGAAAAGTGTATAAGTTGTACCTTGAGGAATTTGAAGCTTTTAGGAATAAAACATGAACAACTTACAACGAGAACCCTAATGATGGCTCAGGGACAATCTCAAAAGTTCATGTAAATCAAGCCTATTTTAACTATTTCGCCGCAGCTGCAAATGCCTCCAGGCCCGTGCTAGTGACCTAACCTACCACACAAATTGTAGAACAACAATTGTACATACCATTGAGTAGCAAGATATAATGGCTTAACCACCTCGTTTTCAAGCCACAATTAATTCTATGAACCCACTCCGCTTTTCTGGTTAAATACCGGAAAAATTATTTTTGATCTTAGTTCCTTATTTCTAGTCCATATCCCATATACAGTTGTAGTGACTCATATTTCAATAAAATAAAGAAGGCCACCAGTTCCCTTCACATGTACCCATAACTATTCTAGCAATAAAATTACCTATTATATACATTCAAACCTAATGTTTCTCTATTTTTATCTAATTTTTGACCGATACTTAATCCGAAGCCATCCTCTGCCACCTTAATAAAAATAGTTTTTTAACTTTGATATCTTTTTAGTTATTAATACAAGAAAAGTTACATCTCTATTAAACCAAGTCTATCTTGATATGGCTTTAACTCAATCTAATTAAAATTAGATCATCCGCTACCCTTCTGAAACATCTAACAACATTCCATTCACGGTCACGTCAGAGCGACCTTTTGATTACGAATAAACACAAAAAGTGTAGGCAATCAGATTCGATTGTACAAAAAGTTTCGGTAAACATTATAAGATTAGTTCCACGGCTACATATTCATTGCTGATACTGTCTTACGTTGAATTAAAGTAATTTTGGTATGAATTTAATGTATAGTCCGCTAGTCTGACATCCTTAGGGGAATAACACAAACGGAAAAGTAGAAATTGTTTGAGAATCGGTAGCACTTTCGGAAAATTTAATTTTAATTAGAATGGTTTTAACACTTCATATTGGTTATCTCGATGTCCACTGACATTCTGATAATCAGTCAGTGGCTGTATTTGTTCAGTGTTCTCAGTAACATCCTCCTGTGTCTGATAAGGATGATTCCGATTTTGTCCTTGTACGGTATCGTCATCAATGTAGTCATATTTTCTGTCCAGGATCTCGAGATCGATATCGTTAGCTTGTTGAGGTTGTTGAGTCGATCCTGTTCTAATTCCTGTGAATTTAGAAAAACAAAAGAGGTACTGTGCTCGCTAAATGATATCCCACATTCCATATGAATATGCATGCATGGCAAAAGTCCAGGTTTTTGCTCAGTGAGACCCGAAATAATAACGATACGGACCTCACAATTGTATTATAAAAATTGCTTGAGTATTGTATAATGTTATTCAGTAGTATAGAAGGAGCAGCAAATAAGAGATGGGTACCCTTCAATATCGCAGTGTCAACATTTTACTATGAGATATCCGAAATAAGTATCGGAACAAGAAATGAAATTTGAATTGCATAATGGCACTATGTCCCATTTATTCTGTGAAAGTCTCAATAAATTTCAATTTGAAGTAAAAGAGTTGCGAATTAAAGAAGGATACCCAAAGAGTAACAGGCAGACGGACGGACTGACAAACGGACGAACGAACGTACAGACAGACGGAGATCACGATCACTATTTACCATCCACTTTTCAAGTTGAGGGATAAATATGATGCAAATATTTTTTTTAACAGAGGCATAGATACAATAAATGTATCAGTGGTAAATTTTAAAAGTGACGTACAGTCAACTCTTTGATCTGACTATCTGGTTGCCTAATGAGTTCATTACTAAGTCAGTTGAAGAATTTGTCTCAATTTCATAGCATACAAAATTGAATATATTCTTCTTCAAAACCTCAAAAAATGACACTTCTAGATTACAATTTCACAGGAGATGAATCATTTTAAGTTTTGTATTTAAAATTTTGTTTATGAGCATATTCAAATTAGGTACTTTCACTTTATGTATAACGTGGCTGTCTATTTAGTGTCTATGGAAAGACTTCTTGAATAATTTTGTTGATCTGTGTGTGTGTGTGTGTGTGTGTGTGTGTGTGTGTGTGTGTGTGTGTGTGTGTGTGTGTGTGTGTGTGTGTGTGTGTGTGTGTGTGTGTGTGTGTGTGTGTGTGTGTGTGTGTGTGTGTGTGTGTGTGTGTGTGTGTGTGTGTGTGTGTGTGTGTGTGTGTGTGTGTGTGTGTGTGTGTGTGTGTGTGTGTGTGTGTGTGTGTGTGTGTGTGTGTGTGTGTGTGTGTGTGTGTGTGTGTGTGTGTGTGTGTGTGTGTGTGTGTGTGTGTGTGTGTGTGTGTGTGTGTGTGTGTGTGTGTGTGTGTGTGTGTGTGTGTGTGTGTGTGTGTGTGTGTGTGTGTGTGTGTGTGTGTGTGTGTGTGTGTGTGTGTGTGTGTGTGTGTGTGTGTGTGTGTGTGTGTGTGTGTGTGTGTGTGTGTGTGTGTGTGTGTGTGTGTGTGTGTGTGTGTGTGTGTGTGTGTGTGTGTGTGTGTGTGTGTGTGTGTGTGTGTGTGTGTGTGTGCGCGTGTGTGTGTGTGTGTGTGTGTGCGTGTGTGTGTGTGTGTGTGTGTGTGTGTGTGTGTGTGTGTGTGTGTGTGTGTGTGTGTGTGTGTGTGTGTGTGTGTGTGTGTGTGTGTGTGTGTGTGTGTGTGTGTGTGTGTGTGTGTGTGTGTGTGTGTGTGTGTGTGTGTGTGTGTGTGTGTGTGTGTGTGTGTGTGTGTGTGTGTGTGTGTGTGTGTGTGTGTGTGTGTGTGTGTGTGTGTGTGTGTGTGTGTGTGTGTGTGTGTGTGTGTGTGTGTGTGTGTGTGTGTGTGTGTGTGTGTGTGTGTGTGTGTGTGTGTGTGTGTGTGTGTGTGTGTGTGTGTGTGTGTGTGTGTGTGTGTGTGTGTGTGTGTGTGTGTGTGTGTGTGTGTGTGTGTGTGTGTGTGTGTGTGTGTGTGTGTGTGTGTGTGTGTGTGTGTGTGTGTGTGTGTGTGTGTGTGTGTGTGTGTGTGTGTGTGTGTGTGTGTGTGTGTGTGTGTGTGTGTGTGTGTGTGTGTGTGTGTGTGTGTGTGTGTGTGTGTGTGTGTGTGTGTGTGTGTGTGTGTGTGTGTGTGTGTGTGTGTGTGTGTGTGTGTGTGTGTGTGTGTGTGTGTGTGTGTGTGTGTGTGTGTGTGTGTGTGTGTGTGTGTGTGTGTGTGTGTGTGTGTGTGTGTGTGTGTGTGTGTGTGTGTGTGTGTGTGTGTGTGTGTGTGTGTGTGTGTGTGTGTGTGTGTGTGTGTGTGTGTGTGTGTGTGTGTGTGTGTGTGTGTGTGTGTGTGTGTGTGTGTGTGTGTGTGTGTGTGTGTGTGTGTGTGTGTGTGGGTGCGTGCGTGAAGGGTATCAAACGGGGACATTTGTTTGTTTACACACCTTCCAACCGGGGACGACCTTCCAACCGGGGACGTCCCCGGTTGTCTTCGATTGAAAATAGCGCCAAATTCGAAATCAGGGATGCCTAATTACCCCAAAAGGCCGAAAAAATCCATTTTTCAACATGTTGGAAAAATGTCCCCGGTTAGTTAGAATTAAAAGATGTGTGTTAGTGTGAACTTTTCATAATTATCGAAAGTTGGTATTTGGGGTTTACACACGTGTCCCCGTTCGTATAGTGAAAAACGTGTCACGTGACCTTTACTGAAACAAACATTACTTTGATATATACTCTTTCTTGTTTTTATGTCCGTATTTTTTAAAAGATTGAATTAGCATATATTATTTTTGGTAACTACTTTATGACCATCAGTCAGTCTGACAAACATTAATCATGTCTATGGAGCATCTTTTTAGTTATAGATGAACTCAAAGACGTCAGAACCGGGTCGGGGTGGTGGGGGGTCTTAGCCCAACTTTTTTTTCAAAATATATACTTAAACCTAGTATACACATTGAAAATTGCTGCCATTAGCACTCCCACTTTCCAAAAACACGTAGGTTCTAGCCTCACACCCCACCCCCACCCCTCACGAAATAGGATTTTCGTGTTCGGGAAATGGACATTTCCCCCTCTTTTTGTGCTTGTCAGAGATTTTTTTGATGATATATATATATATTTTTTTTTACACTTAGCCCCGCCCACAAGTTTCAATTTGCTCCCGAGGCTAATGCAACTTATGATGTACGATAATATTGACATAACTTTGGGCCGTTTATGCGTAATAAATTAAACCACGTAGTATTACAGTTTAATGATTGAAGAATAAGCAGTCGTGATTTATTCAACATAATATCCGTGGGCGTCAAAAGCAAATTAAACGGGGGGCCACAATGCATTGGGGCTATAAACCCCAATTAAACTGTAAACCCCTTTTTTCAATGCACAATTAATGTATATCTGTGCAAAAAAATAGAGAATGCAAGCTGATAATTCGAAATAAGTAATTGTTTACATGTACATTAAAGTTTGAAATCTGTAGTAAGGATGATTTTCTTAAGCTTAAACATAATTCTTGATTTAGTGGGAAAATTATACCCATATAGATTAATAAGTTTACGTATTATTTACAGAGTTAATTGAATATTTTTTTTTTGTTATATAATACACATTTCACCAGAACTGAACTTTGTCATGCATTTTGTTGGGAGGGGGGTTAGAGTGGGGTGAAAGTGGGGTTGGGATTGGAAAGTTACAGCGTACAGTTTTTTTTACCATTTTATTTGTAAGTTGTTATTTGCATAGCTAAGGATGCTCGTATCCATGCATGAGACTTAACTGAAATTCCTTCAATGTGATTTGTAATAGTAGTGTGGCAAATGCTAGCTGCAGAACTGTAACTCTCCGAAAAAAATATTTTGACAGACCGGAGAGCTACAATGTACAGCCCTATCCATTGTAAAAACTGTATATGGGTCATTTTCAAAAAATGTCCAAATTCCTGTTATACAAGCTTTTTTGAAAATTTTGCAATAAAAATCAAAATTTTTTTTACCTTATGAATTTAACAACAATCTACAAGTGTAGAAAAAAATTCAGTGCGATTAAAAATTGACTTGAATACTGAAAAAAGTCCTTCAACCTGAGTAAAATTAAAGAGAATTGCTTGTGATTTGGCCGGATGTTTGACTTCAACTCTGATTATTGATGTAGTAAATATAATTAAGCAGTGTAAAATGACCTTTATTGTGTTGTACATGTTTAATACTGTCTAAATGAATGCTAAAATGTGATTGAAAAAAAGTAAGAATATGATTTTTTTAAAGTTAAGTGTGTGTTATTTTGGCCGTGTCCTTGGAGTTACCAGGACATAAAAGTTATCTGTAACAGTTATCTTTCCTAAAGAAACTCTTTACTATCAGCCTCCTTCATTTGGTCTTGTTCCCGCCAAAATATCATGAGACACTTTACACAGATCTTTTATACTAAAGGCACAATATGTGGTTGAAGGCAAGTTTGATTGCAATAGTAATTTATTTTTGAGTCCTAGGAGTTACTTCGATATTGTGATGATAAATTTATTTGCCATTTCTTCGATGCATTGAGCAAGTTTATAACAAAATACCTATCATCTAGGAGCTGTGCTTTATGTTCATAAGTCAGTTATTGCTTTTATACTTCCAATTATTTATATAATAATTCCCTGGTGTTACTGTCCATTTTGTTACTGCAAGAAAAGTTACTCTAAGGATGTATCTAGTTACTCCATGGATAATTTACATAGAAAATAATTAAAAAGAATGAAAGTTGGAGTCATATGTTTTATTTTCCTCCCTTATTTAAAACTATCCAGTAACTAATTTTGTTTCAAAATGCCAAATTATTTACTAAATGTTTTTACCATTAGAAAATCATATGATTTTGCAGTCTTGGTTATGCAAAGGACAGAATTGGGTAACACCGCGGACCAATATAAAAAAAAACCCTTTAAATTCCCAATTTTAATACAACATTTGTGTAAAGTTTATTACAATATAAAATAACAGAAATATTTTTATCAAATTGGCATTTATTTTTCATATTATGTTTCCATGAGCTATAAATTAATTCAATAAATAATTTGAATAACACAAAGGACAATGTTTGGTAACACAATGGATGTAAAAACGATTAAATATTTATGCTATTAATATACTCTTGCATGTTCTTTTGTTTCTGTAGGAAAATATACAACTTTTATTTCTTTTGAATAAATTGAAATATCAAAATTTATTATGTAAT